AGTGATGTGAGAATGTAGATGGCGAGTGGTGGCCTGTTGTCACTGGTTTCCCTAAGATCTGGGTGTAGTGGCTGTAGGACATCATTGGGGTTTTGGTCTTGGTGGAGTATTTGTTTAGATTTCCTCGTTCAGTAGTGTTTGGAACTATAGTTGAGAATATTTCCCTTCCTAACTAGCTCCAACCCTAAAAATAATGGCGATGATGCATTTCAACACCATAGAGTTCAGTGGCTGTAAGCTGAGTGCCTGCTGCTTGGCCCACCCTGGGCTATTGCGAAGGGGTCAGTGAGCAGGAACTGGGCTAACTTCTACTGCTGGCTGAGAGTCTTGCTGATGAAACATAAGCACAGACCTCTAGCCCTGCCCCATCCAGTCCACACTCTACAGATATCTGCACTTTCCCAAGGCGCAGACCTGCCCATCCTGCTCTCCTGCTCAAAAATCTTCAGTAGCTCTCTGCTCTACCCTGAAGGAAGCCAGCCCCCATCAGCCTCCATTCCTTCTGTACCTCCTGCTCTCTCCTGCTGTGCTTCTGCATTGGATACCAGTCTTTCTCTGTGTCTTTGCTTAGGCTGTGCTCCCTCCTCCACTCACCCATTACCCCAAGGCTTTGGATTAGTCAACCTTCCATTGCTGGGACAAAGTACCCGATGTCCATAACTTAAAAGAGAGGTTCGTTTGGCTAATGAATTCATTGGCTCCAGTCCATGGCTGGCTGGCTTGAGTTGGAAACAGCGTGGTGGAAGGGTCTGGGGGAGGAGAGCTGCTTACCTCATGGCAGCCAGCAAGTAGAAAGAGAGGGGGGAAGGGGCCAGAACCCACACTTCCAGGTCATGGTTCCATTGACCCAACCTCCCTCTTCCAACTGGGCCCCACTTCCTAGCTGCACATTCAGCTGTGAACTCATGAATTCCTGGATGAGTGTAACAGCCCTGCAATGCAGTCGCCTTCCAAAAGCCCCACCTCTGAACGCTTCCTAGATCTGAACCATAACAGATGGTTTGTGTTCATCTACAGCAGGCAAGATGGCTCTGGGAGTACTCCCCAGTTTCTCCACCCCATACTCCTTTCTACCTTCTGCCCTAGACTTGTGTGTGTTCTTGACCTTCTGCTCTGCCAACCTGGGAGATTGTGAATGGAGGAGTTGATGAAAGAGTCAGCTTTGTATGCCCCACTCTGGAAGACATCCTGGCCTCACTGCTGGCTCTCGTGAGGATTGGTTCAGCCTATGTGACAGCTTCCTGAGCACTTCATCTGGCTCCATACCGTGCCAGATGGTGCCCTGGTGCCATCTTCACAAGGACTCTGTGATCCCTGTCACATCATCCCACTTTTACAAATAAGGAAACCGAGACTTTAAGGAACTGTCCCTTCATTTGTTCATTCAGCAAACATATTTAATGAGTACCTACAACATGACAGGCTTTGTAGCAGGGCTGGGAAATGGGGCACTAAAGATGTTGTAGATGGATACTGAGAGGCAGACTGTGAGATATCTGAATTTGAACATAGAAGAATGATTAAGGAGTAGTCTTGGGAGGGCAGGGAAGGCAGCAGGGAGCCTGAGTGGAAGCCTCATCCAGCGCTGTAGGGGTTCTCAAGATAAGCAGCCTCTCATACCTGTCCAGGTTGAAACAAGAGAGTCCAGTTTCTATACCGTGTGCTGATCAGTCTTTGGGGGAGGCCGTGCCCTGATGGGTGGGACACGATACCTTGTTCTGTTGTTCAGGCCATAGCTAAAGTGCACTCTTAGCTCCAGGCTGCCTGTTGGCAGTACTCCCAGCAACTTAGGGTTTTGAAGGTCTATCACCAGAGAGAAAGTCTCTTTCCCCCATGGGCTTACATTCCAGCTGGGGAAATAAATGGTAAGGGATGAAGCCAGTAGAGAGGAAAGACCATCACACTGCTCCTTACACAGGCAGGTACTTAGTTCCCAGCTAGACAGGGAAGTTGAGCTGCCATAGGCAACTGATGCAAAGCCTTGCCTCCATTGTGGGTCACTGTGGCTCCAAAATTTACCTCCCCACTGTGTACATGGAAGTGGAAATCACATGGCTTTCACTATAAGCTTGGGCTATGAAAGTCACACAAAGCCTCCATGTCAAGCTAAAGAGCTGGGACTTGACCCTGTAAACAATGGAGAGAAATTAGAGGTGCTCAATGATGTATGTGTGTAGGAAACTCTGTGGGTGTGGGCATATAGAATGGTGCTTAGTGCAAAGAGACCAGCACTAGAGACAGCTTCAGAGAGAGACCTGGGCCTACAGTAAAGACATGCTTGGTTTGGGAACTGGAGGTAAGAAACAGGTCTGGACTCTTAGAGTGTTAAGCTGTAAGAGACAGAACCCTGTTATCCTAAGGCAGCTTCTCTTCTGGTCCTAAGATGCCTGCAGTAGCAGTTGGGGCTGCATGCTTTTTGCTAGCATGGTAGAAAGGCTAAGCATTGTCCACCACATGAGTCCTTCTTTGCAGCCCAGTTACATCATTGCCTCACCCCTGGATGGTAATAACACAACGAGTCTACCATGCAGAGCTGGGATAGGACCAGCTTTCCTGGAAGAACTGGGCAGGAGGTGTAGATGCTGGGTCAGATATGTGGCTCAACGAGGAAGCAGGGAGGGTGGGGACAGGGATAGGTGGGATTGGGCAGTTTGAAGGCAGTGCATAGTGATTGGTTGAAGTGGAGATGAAGGATAAAAATGTGTGAAAGATAAATCCAAGCCCAGGAAGATATCCCAGCATACAAAACTGAGGGATACAGGAATGTACTTCAGGCATTTGTTTTTTAGTAATTTGAGTTTGATGTGACTGGGAGACATCCCATCCATCCTGTTTTGTAACAGTTAAAGATATGTCTTTGAGCTGGAGCTTGAGGTCATGCAGGAAGGAGCCCAGGAGCAAGGCATGGAGCTGAAGACATAGCCACTGGTCCCTGACCTCAGGAGTGTGTCGGGGAGGGGCTGGGAAGGCAAGGCTGGAGGAATTCTGAAAGTAGGACTCTTCTCCGCAGAGCTGCCTATAGGACAGGGTCCCTGTTTGCCGGGATCTGTGCTTGTGTGCACAGTGATGGTACAGGATGCTTGCTGTGTCATTGTTTGAAGATACTGGAAGCCACCTAAATATTCATACCTATGGAGCTGGTTAAATTAATCAACATGCACCTGGTATATGGAATCCCAAGCTGCAGTGTGAAAATGGTTGCAATGGGAAAACACCTAACTATATTGTTAAATAGAAAAATCAAGGGGCAGGTGTATAGGTGCACAGTATGCTCCCATTCGTGCAGTGAGACAACATGTGGTAGGCAAATGTTTGTTTGTACATCCGTAGACTATTTCTGGAAGGCATCTGAAAAACTCTCCCTGTTTTTTCTGGGAGCCTGTGAACCTTGCTCTTTCTTCCTAACCCTGCTGGCTGCTAGAGATTCTTGGCCCATGTGCATTTATCTGTGACAAAGTTTGGATCATAAAAATAAATAGAAAAGACAGGATATCAGATATCAGAGAGGCTCATGAGGCTGGAGATGAGAGCATGCATGGGAGGTATTGGGAGTCTGGAGTCACTGGAGGTAGGGGACCGAGGGAGACTGTGACACTGCCTACTCAGAGCTGCAGAAAAGAGGCAGGAGGGGTGGCTGGTTGGGCTCTCAGGGCCCCACTATGAATGCATGGACATTGCTCAAGGTCCCTGGTGAGCTCTGCACAGAAAGTTCTGCACAGACCTGTTTCATTTTGGATTGGGTCCCCTTTCTTTAGCCACTGGAGCTGGAGGGAGGCCTAAAGTGGTGTTGGATTTTCCACTGCTAGCACAAATACTCAACACCCACAGCTGAAGGTGCAGAGGTCTAATTTGGCTCACTGGGTCAGGGGTTCAGCCTAGGTCAGCTGGTTCCCAGGTAGAAACTTCATGGTGGAATGGTGTGGCAGCAGGAAGCAGAGCAAGAAAATATAGCCAGAGAGGAAAGGGCCTGGACTGGATATAATACCCAAAGTCATACTCCATGGCCACTCACACTCCCAGGAATATGCTTACTAATCCCCTGGACGTGTTTCATCCTGTCAGGTTGACATCACAATGAGCAGTCACATTCTACCCCTTGTCAACTTGACAACCACACAATCTCCCTATCCCACACTTAAGCTCCAAATAGAGACATAAGTAACACAATACAGCCACCCTGAGCACACTCAGAAATGCACCATTTCCCCCCTGCAAGTCTCAATAGTTCCAGCATTCTTCAAGTTTGAGTCAAAATCTCTTCTGAAACTGAAGGCAAACTCTTATCTACGAACCTGTGTAAAAATAAAAAACAAGTTATATAACCCCAAGGTACAATGGCAGAGTAACCACTCCAATTCCAAAGGGAATAGGGAATAGAAAAGCATAGCGCCAAAACAAGACTGAAACACATTGACTGTCATGAGACCCTAGATCACTGTTTCTTAAACCATGTACCCCATTCTCCTGAGATATTAATAAATATGGAGCAAGGAATGCATACTGTGATCTACTAGTTTAGAAGACAGAATTAAAGAAGGATTCTGTGGGGCTTCCCAGAATCTTTCACATGTTAATGTCTCTGAGCCACAAGGCTGAGGAAGTGATGTGCACAGTTCCTCCAATTATGAGACTAGGAAATTTCTTTTGCAAGGAGACTCTTTCTGGGGATTTGTTTCATGGACACGAGTTGAGGAAGTCAGATCTAGATCGGTGATGTCTATGTTGATTTCTGAACCCCTTCTTACCCCATTTCAGACAGTCTTGCCCTTACTGTGTTAAAAACAAACTGATAGATGCAACCTGCAAACTTTTCTCCTGCTGATATTTAAGAAACTTTTCATCAACAGCTAATGTTTGCACATGATTATGGGGGGCAGCATGACGATTCTGTGTGTATGCGCTATGTGATGGTGAAGCCAAAATAATTAGCATCTCCGTCTTCTCTGATGTTGGTCATTTACAGAAATGTTGATGTTGATATTGGTTCCTTCATCTTCCAGAGCAAGGAGATCGGCCTGCAGATGCACGAGGAGCTCCTGAAGGTGACCAATGAGCTGTACACAGTAAGTTCTGCAGCTGTGTGAGCCTGGGGCTGCCTGCTGTCAGCACCCAGTGTGGACGGGGTGCGGCAGAGGTCTGGGGTGAATGTGAGCCTTTGTGTCTTGTGCTGGAGTGACAATGGCTCATCATTTTGGGAAGGACCAACGCATAGCCCCAGCTTCGAATTCTTTGCAATTGATTCTGGTCCCAGCTCAACCCAGGCTCTTTGTGTTTCTAAAATGACATCAGGCACAACTTTACAGCTTCAACCTACCATCAGACCCTCTGTCCTTAATATTTTTCTCTAAATTGACCCCACCCCCTCTTTTATAAATCTTCCAATCTTCTTCAATTAGAGGGGAAGCAACCTTGTGTAGGAAAGAACACCCATCTAGAGGAAGTTGGGCCTGGCTTCATGGCCCTGCCATACAAATGTGAGTACATGCTTCCCTGGAGTGTGGCGATCTGTGTGGACCGTGCTGTGAAGAGAGGGCTGCAAGGGACTGCCCAGTGCTGGGCAAACATTCATGCTATGCCATCGTGTCTTGGGAAAGAATGGAGCACGCATATTTTTCCTGCATTGTTTTGACTCTTTCCTTTCTCCTCCATCCTCCTTTGCCTCTGGGCCATCCCAAGCCCTATGAAGGTTCTGTCTGAAGAAGTGCCACAACCCCATGGCCCCCACTGTCCAGGCCCACTCTCTGCAACACACTTCCAGACTTGCCTAGAAGACTTTCCTCTTAGACAGTGGTTTCCTGCACCGGGAGGTGGAGTCCTGGAGATGGGACGGGGGAGGGAGAGAAGAGGGAGGGGAGAGGGTTAAAGGCGTTGGAAAGGAGGAAGATGTGTTCCGTGTGTACCAGTTACCCCAAACAAACATCACCATTCTGTAATACAAGTATGTGCTAATAAAAAATTGATTTCCTCTTAAGAGTCAGAGTAGGGTATACTTGCACTTCATAAAACAACAACAAGATGGGCAATAATAAACAGCACAAGAAGATGCAAAACAAAAACTGTGTCTTCCACTGCCCTACTCTCTCTCCTCTCCCCTTGGTCATGAGATCACCAGTGTGTAGGCAGTGGCATCTCCTTCCAGGGGTGTTTGATTCACCTGTCAGCAGATAGATAGAGCAGGCCCCACCAATCCATTCCATGTATGGGGTGTCCCTGTAGGCCCCTGCTGTCTCTTCCTGGGAGCTGTGTCTCGGCTGTCTTCTCTCATGAGTATGCCTGTCACAGACCATGCTGCTCTGAACGCTTCTGCATGCTGATGCATTTCATCCTACCACAACCCTTCCAGCAGGGGCAATTATTACCGCCTTATAGAGGCATGGCACAGAGAGGCTAGATTGCACACCCAGGGCCAGCCTGATGGAGAGTGGCTGAGGCTATGCCGGACTCCATGTACTGAAGCACTCCTCAGAGCTACTTAAATAATAGTGAAACTATAGAAATGTATGTGCACTGCAGTTGTCCCTTGGTGTGCATGAGGGTTGGATCCAGGACCTCCTGCAGGTACCAAAGCTTGCAGATATTCAAGTCCTTTATATAAAGTGGTGTATTATTTGCACAGAACGTATGCACATTCTCCCATATTCCTGAACTCATCTCTAGGTGACTTGTGACATCTAACATAATGCAAATGCTGCGGCACTCACTGTTATACTGTATTGTTTAGGGAATCACGGACGGAGGAAATTCTGTATGTATTCAGTGCAGATGCAGCTTTTTCTCAAGTATTTTCTACCTGTGGTTGGTTGAATCCAAGGATGTGAACCTGCAGATGCTTAGGACTGGTGATGCTCCCTACATTTATTTTGGGAGGAGATGTGAGCACATGAAAGACAACGTGGGAGCTCGAGCAGCATGGCTCGCACTCACTGGTGGCTGTGGTGCAAGACTGGTCAGCACCACACTGAGCCTTCCCCCCTGATGCACCAAGAGCAATGAAGGTTAACGACATGTAGGTGACATTCACAGTCATCTTGCTCACACAATTCCCTCCTCCTGCCTCAGCAGCTCTGGCTCAGGCAAGTTCACTGGAGTGAAGGTGCCGATCCTGAGGGGCTTCAGGGCTCCTGTGAGCATCTGTCTGTGCCACTCTGCCCAGGTGGAGGCTCAGCCGGGGCAGCTTTTCAGGGTGTCACACACTGCCCAGGTGTCTGTTCAAGGTCCCTGGAAGGATCAGGAGCAGAGGTCTCACTCACAGAGGCCGCCTTACCTCCCCAGCTCTCCCGCAGAGACACTGGCACACTCAGAGTACTTTTCTTGATCACAGACCGTGTCTAGGCAGTGAGAGGTAGCTACACACGGTGACAGTGAGACACACTGTGGGGAACATGGGAGGTGGGGTGGGGTGATAGTGTCTGCTAGGCATCAGTGAGGTGACGGAGGGGAAATGGCACCCGGGCCGGCCAGGGGACACACTTGCAGTGACAGGGAAGTGGCAGCCGGGGCCCAGGATGCAGGAACTCCTGTTCTGGCTGCCAGTCCTGTTCACTTTTAGCCCTGAGCTTGGCCAGTTGGGACCACAGCTGATTTGGGTGAGTGGGGTGGAAGGAAGAAGGCCTGCCTGCCTTTTAGGGTTCATCCAGGGGTGAGGGATGGAAATCAGGGTAAGCTGGCTGTTTTTAGTCTGTTTTCGGCTGCTATTACTGAATACTGGAGAATGGGTAATTTATAAAATATAGAGATTTTGCTGGTTATGGTTCTGGAGTCTGAAAAGTCCAAGAGGATAGTGCCAGTACCTGGTTAGGGCCTTCATGCTGTGCCACCCATGGCAGAAAGCAAGCGGGCAAAGACGGCAGTGGGAACCAGGCTCGCTTTTGTAACAAATCTACTTTTGCAAAATCTAACCCATTCCTGTAATAACAACATTAACCACCTTTCAAGGCTGATGCCTTGGGGAATAGTTTCCTGATACCTGCATCATGGAGGACACTTTCAAACTGCAGCCCTGTTGTGTAAAAGTGACAGTCTGTGGGGTCCCACAGGAAGTCAGGCATAACTGGATCTGAGGCTCCCGCCTTTGTTTGTCTCACTCCGAGAAGGCAGAGGTACTCGCTGTCTTCCACAGCATCGTATGTGAAGCACATGTTACCTGATAGGTAATACACAGCTCACTGAGTACTTAATAACTGAATGTATCACTGTCCTTTCCCCCTCCAATATACTCACTGGATCTAAGGCAATAGAACTGCACCTGCTCCGTTGTATTTCATTCTTTTCTCCCTCCCTCTCCCCTTCTCTCTCTTCATTCCTTCCATCCATCCCTCCACCCCATCTATCCATCTGTCCATCCATCCATCCACCCATCCATCTATCCATCCGTCCATCCATCCATCCACCCGTCCGTCCATCCATCCATCCATCCATCCATCCATCCATCCATCCATCCACCCATCCATCTATCCATCCGTCCATCCATCCATCCACCCGTCCATCCATCCATCCATCCATCCATCCATCCATCCATCCATCCATCCATCCATCCATCCATCTTTCAGCACCAGCCTCTAGCTCTTTTTGGTTTTATTTTCTTCTGTGTGGGCTTCATGATTTGCAGGCTTCTCCTATATGGTAACAAAGATGACTCAGGCCCTGCAAGCTCACTTTCTCCATTGGAGAGAGAACCCTCTCCTCCTGGTATTTCCAGCATAGTCCCACGGTGGCCTCTGGTTGGCCTGGCTGAATCATGGACCTCAATCATTATGGCCAGGTTAGCATAATATTTCTGATTGGCCAGACCTAGGTCTCATGGCCACCCCAGGATTGGAGGATGATGTCAGTTTCCCATGAACCACAGGGACTGAGAATAGCTTGAGGGAAATTTTGGGGATTTCCTCAAAGATAATCAGGAAATTATTCCTGGAGAAGGACTAGGTGATTCTGGCCAGAGAAAAACAACAAATGTCCACAGAAGGGATGGAGAGGGGAGGACAGGGCAATGCCTCTGACAGCTAGTGCTCTAACTCACACATGATGTTCTTTTACATATAAGCTGCTCCTCAGACCTTTTTGGCTCTTGCTGCCCTTGGATTTAACACTCACATTGCTCCCATCATATGAGATGCTTTACCGTACGCCAGTCCCTGTTTGTGAAGCTCTTCCTTCATGGTCCAGTTTAAATGTCATTTTCTTCAGGAAGCCTTCTGATGCATCCTACATGCCCCTCACTGTGGCACTTACCACATCACATGATAATCACTTGTGTAACCATCTGTGTCCCTACCACAGTGTGATTCTATGAGGACAGAGACCCCAGTGTCTTCTATGCTGTAGTACGTCCTGATATAATACTTAGTATAGGAATTGGCTCATAATGAACTTTTCAACAAATATTTCACAAACAAGGGTGCAGCTGTCATCCTCTGACCAAACAGACTCACAGAACTGTACCTTCTCCAGTCTCTCCTCTCGGTCTCTTTTCCTTTCTCCCTTACATTCACTCAGTGTATTAGTTAGGGGTCTCCAGAGGAACAGAATTTATGGAAAATATCTGTGTAATTATGCAAGTGGATTTACTAGATAGTGTGTGGGATCAGGGGCAGGAGACCATATCTATCCACCCATCTATCCACCTGTACATGCACCCATCCACTCACTCTTCTATCTGTCCATCCATTCTTCTCTCTGCCCACTCACCTACCCATCCAAGCACATTTGTCAATGCATTGATCTGTTGATCCACCCACACATTTATTTACTCATTCATGCAAATATATATTGATACTTGCTGACTGCTGTTTGTGCTACTACAGGGAAGATGATCATCAACAAAGTTCTTACCCTCAGGACTTTAATTCTAATTGGGGCAACATGGTCTGTGTTATGGTTTGTGTCTGCATGTCCCCCCAAATCCTCATGCAGTCATGGGGCGGGTTTCTAGGATTCTTGATTGATCCATGATCCAATGCTGGGATTATGGGTGTGAGAGCTACACCCGCCCGGGGGCGGGTAGTTCGCATACATTGTAAGGGAGGGAAAAAGACTGCTTGCCACTATTCTCCTTTTTCTTGCT